ATAAATTATATAAATCATACAATTAAAAGTGAAATAAATACATTAAAGCTATATAGAAATATAAAACCCCAAAAACTGATAATAATAAAAATGACAACAAATCTTAAGATTACTAAACCATCACTAAAACAAAAAAAATGAAAACTGAAAATATAAAAATAAAACCCAAATGAATATAAAAATATGAATAAAATTGGACAACAAATGCACAAAATGTCAAAAGCAAGTAATGGGATTGAACTAAAATTAATTCTACTAAATAATTTACAACACACTTAAGACACAATTAACAATGCATTATGACATTTTTATTTTAAAGAGTTAAATATGTATGAATGTGTGAAATGAAGGGCAGTCTAACACCTTCTAAAGTCACATGGTTCCGTTTCCCCCGTCAGCAGTGTATTAGGCAGGACATCCATCGGTTGCTCGATGACCTGAGCGTCATTAATGTGTGTAAATGGTCACTGGGGGTATTTCTTTATTTCTGGCGGCTATCTTCACAGGACGACTGTGCCATTATTCTGCATCAGGTGACGTGAGGAAGGGAGATATACTGTACTCTAGTGTATAATGAGAGTTCAGGTGAGCGCTTGGGATCCTTTTTGCCCTTGATGTTAAAGAAGGTAAATGCGATTGTGGGAAAAATGATCTCACGTGCTTCTAACTTTTAATTTAATGTTTTAATTCCCTCTCTCGTATCATTGCTTTTGCCTTCGAAACCTCACAATTCCTCTTGCCCTCACCTTCTGGATCGACCTGCACTGCTGTTTTCCCCTTCGCTCTCGTGGCTGTGATTTAATCGTCCTGCAGCAGAAAAAAAAGGCAAACGCAGCTCAATTAATTTATGCTTTAAAATGTTTTCGTCAATAACCTTTCTCCTAGAAAAGCTTACAATCATGTGGAGAGCACAAATTAAATAACAATTAACGGCGGTTATTTGCTCACCGTTAGCTTGAGGACGCATCTCTGCCTCTGCCGTGGCGTTTTTCAACAGTTAATCAGAGAACTGGCAGTGAAGTACCGTTTAATTCGTGAGGTGATTTATAAATGTAATACTGATTAGGTGTGTGTGCATGTGTGTGTGTGTGTGCTTCTTGGTGAAAACCGAACAATTACTGACTTGTATTTAAAAAAAAAATACACCACTGATTTTTGTGAAATGCTTTTGGTTGCTGTTTCGATACCAATATCAGGATGAAATTGAGCAGGAATCCTGATCAACAGTGTCAGTTAACAGTTCAAGTCTATTTGCTGAATTTATTTCATGTTTTCAGTAGAGATACTGCTTTTGTAAACAGCATATGTGGTTGCCTTTTTTTGGTAGTCCTTAAATAGCTATTACTTTAAAAGAAAATATCTCCCTTTGAATTGAACTTTGAGCCTCGTGACTTTACAGACGTTGTTTATGCTCTAACAGCAACATTACACACTAACTAAACTTAAAAAAGTGAAATCATAATCAACCACCCCTTTAAATCACTTACTTTCTGTCAAAATGTGGATTTTGCAATGAGAAACTCATAGACAGTAAAACAGTTGGGATTAGTTTGAGATGGTTTGAAGTATATAACTGCCCCAAACGAATCCCAAACATGTTACTGAATGAGTTTATTTTATTGCAGAATACCCGGTGAATGGATTATCAGTCCTATAGATTATGTGGAAAGGATGACAGTACTAATTATTTTAATTCTTAGATGTACAGTAGACGATATAGCATTTAAATGGCATTCAAATACATCTGATATGTTTAAAACTAGCTACCCTTCATGCCACATTAATGTTCTATTAGATCATAGTTTATCTAACAAATCTAATGCATCCCACTTCAGAAAACAATGTCGGATCTGTGTCTTTAATGCTTTAAAAGAAAGGGACAGCAAAGTGTAGTGTATTCATGGAAAGTGCTGCTAAAACAATGCCAAGACTCCAGAAATCCATATTTAATTATGCAGCGGAGCTAAAGAAAGTCTTTTGCTGTTAGTTTGAGAAATATGAATAGAAAATGTCCCAGGGAAAAACCTCCCTCATGCCCGGAGAGGACCAAGGACTAATGTATTTGGCTGAACTTGTCGAGTTTTAATAGAAGGAGAATTTGCGGTTCTGTGTTGTGCAGCGGAGACCAAAGATCGATTCCTCTCAGGAGAGAAAATGTATAGTCTCACAGGCATATTTTGATTTCCAACAATACATATAGCCTGAAAGGCATTGGTTTTCAAGCAGCATGGATTGTCACATTCGATAATTATTAGGTGCATTGCCTCTGTTCCTCTAAGGTTGACTGCAGGCATTTGGCTTTATGGCAGGTGAAATTTGGCTCGTTTTAAAGAGCATGATTCACACGTCGACCTTGGCATTGCTTTAAAGACTTACGCATACCCAGAGCCAATACGCAATTAGCGTTGTGCTGAGCTTTGGATAAGTGTCTTGTACATTATTTGTTGACCTTTCCATAAACCTTGCCGATAAATTAGCAGAGTCGAGTGAGCGTGAGTCTGGTCATTTCTGCATTGACACATTCTGCATTGAACACAGGGGACAGCTGAATCTGAACAGTAAGCCAATGTTCACATTAAATAATTTAGTACATTCATTCATTTTACGAATGAGGAAAAACACAAGCCATTTATCATAAAGGAGCCATAGCTATTAGTTGTCCTGAAAGAGCGAATTTCAAAAGTAACCCAGAAATGGAAATGTAGTCTGAGATGTGTCATATGTGTATAGCAGTCATAGCAAAAGTTGTGCTACTTTATAATTGTTGTAGCATACATTGAGAAGAGTAGTGGGCCTAGTACTGAACCCTGCAGCACTCCAGTGCTTAGCCGATCCCACCCTTCCTGGAAACCTTTAAACTTTCAGATAATGAGTAGGCATTGTGCATGGGGGTTAAATGGGTGACATACATAATATACAGAAGTACAGAAGTGAGGTAAATTGCTAAACTTTATTGTGAAGGCAGCTGAACTAACAACAAGATGTGGTGCACCACAACAGATAAAACCTGCTATCAGCTAATATGACACAATGTTGGGGTCAGACACAAGTATTGGTTAGACATCAGAATGATCCCTCAGCAGCTTTCTGTAGCTTTTGTCGTAACTTTATACCTGCATGTTTAGGAAAACAGACTGACATGTAACTTTAGCTGCAAAGTACCTCCTAACAGACGATGACTACACACCACAGAAGAGCTCAAATTAGATGCTCATCCACTGCGTTATGTAGCTCACAGTCTGTGAAAGTTAAGAGAGGATTTAGAGTAGAATGTTTGCAGAAAGACAATTGTGTTATTGCCCAAGGGATGATTACTGGAAGTGTTTTAAATGAATAACATGGGAAACATCAGGCAATTCTGGACATCACAGAGCAGCTGTGCTGCTTTATGCTTTTTTTCAAATGGATGAATCATGAAACCTGCCAAGAACATGTCTAGGTCATATTTCCCCCTCAGAACTGTATTTTGCATAAATATTTTATTTTCATTTTGTGTATGTGTGTGTGTGTGCGTGTGACATTATTTTTATTACAGTTAACCATCCTCTTCTACTGAGATAATTTCCTTTTACTGAAGTGTTAAATTATGAATTAAACCTTGGGATGTATGAATTTCGAAACGCAGACCTTGGCAATTGGTTGGCATAAATTAAGGACATCTTCAAATCTTTGCTGATTCGCAGCACTCTGAACGAGACGAGTGTTATAATGATTTCCGAGACAATGAGGAGCGTTTCAAGCTCTTTATGAGCTGCAGGAAATCCACCATTACAGCAGATGCCTCCCTCTGAGGCGCTGAAGTGTCGTAATCACTCTTTAGTCACTATTTAGACAGGGATATTATTCCGTTGTCTATCATTCATTCATTCAAATCCTTCACTGTTTTCTGGAAACAAGAGAAAATGTCCCGGGAACTGTCAACATACAAGCTTTCACTGTACAGTGATACGGCAGCTACACCATAGAGGCTCATTTGCACTATTATAAAGTAAATCTACAGCAAATCATTGCATTTATAATCCATTTTTACACAATTTTTCCAAAAACATGGTGAAATACAGTGTAGGCAGTGGTAGTAGTGAAAGAGAGGCGGTATATATGTGTAAGCAGTATTTTGGTGTTTTTGTGTACCTGAGCTGAGGTTCATAGAAAGTGAATCCCAGGAGATGTCTGTGGTTCAGTGGTAATTACTGTGTGTTTGTGTGCGTGTGTGTTGGTAATGCTCCCTAGAGGCTTGTTGACTTTGTGTTTGTTTTAGATTGCTTGTATTTGCTGGAGGTTCACAGAAACACGCGCATACACACACACAAGGTGGTTAACCTTCAGAAAATGTTGGTCAAACCTGAGTTCCAAAAAGACATCAGACCGCTAGGTATTTATTTATTTATCTTTTAGCTACATTTTGTGCTGAAGATGTGGATATTGAAATTGAAAATCACCAATGACCACAAATATAACTGAAAGAACATTTCTAAAATAATTATTTTGGACACAATTCTTCATAATGCAAAGATATTGGTAATCCTCACCTTGCTCTCATAGTTTTGATTAGAATACATTACATCTGGGTTGAGCGGTCGTCTGTATGTCTAGGTGTGAATGAACCTCTAGTCATGGTCTACTGAGATTAATTTAATACTTTTACACTTCTTTTTAGTTTTCTTTTGATGTTTGAGGGATGAAGAGAATGTCACCTAATTACATTTTCCAAATGATTATTGAAAATAAATGATCGTTGCTATAAAAGTATATAGTTATTCATGTTTATTGAAAAATGACGAGGTCACACAAAAATAATTCAACTGTATGTAGAAGTTGGATGGGTAAAGGTTTATCGCCTCGCTCTAGTTCTGTCTGTTTAATATTGATGTTATTTGAAAGCTTATTTACTGTGTGTGTCTTTCCTCACCCTGAGTTCCTCATGCAGGTTCCCGCAGCAGCTTCGGTGAAAGTGTGTGTGTTTGTGTGTGTGTAACAGTGATGGTGTTCCTGTGTTTCAGAGGATCAGCTGCCCCCAGGCTTCCCCACCATAGATATGGGCCCCCAGCTCAAGGTGGTGGAGCGCACCCGTACTGCCACCATGCTCTGTGCTGCTAGCGGTAACCCCGACCCAGACATTTCCTGGTTCAAAGACTTCCTCCCGGTCAACACCAGTAACAACAACGGCCGCATCAAACAGCTCCGATCAGGTAATTTCCCTCCGTAACGCTAGAAGAAAAGCAGCGACAAGAGCCGCTATTGTCCTTCTTTCCGTTTGAGTTTCTGTTCTTTCTCATGGAGCCTTTTCTTTGGATTTCTGTAGGAAACGGCATCTACGTCGTCTGCGTCCCCTCTGTGTGTGATGTGTCTTGTGTTCCTGTCTGTTTAATTTATTACCCATGATTCACTGCTATGACTGCATTTTTGGCCATCTTAAATTGGGCTTTGTTTTGTTTCCATTTTAACACTTAGTTGCAAAAAGCAGCCGAACCATGCATAATAAATAAGTGTCGTTCTCCATGTCCTTATTTTCCTTCCTCCAATGCGCAATGAGTAAGATCTGGCTTCATTCAGAGCTCTCGAAAGAATCATCAAAGTTGTTTTGTTTGTTGCTCTCATATCATGACGCAGCACATGACCTGGCGAACCTCGATTATGCCCAAAAACTAGCAAAAAAAAAGACAAAAAAGAGCGTCCTTTTGTGTGTGTGTTTGTGTGACCCTCGTTGTGTGTTTGCGCATCCAACTGACCAAATTCAGGGCTGAACACGTTGGTGATTCTTTGCATCGGGTGGTCTCTCCTTAAGTAGCGCAAAACCCCCGTTTCGTTTCGCAAATACGTAAGCTGACCATGTCGCTCGAGTTGCTCCGATGTGTTTTCCAGCCCTCGATGCTACGACATGTCTTCCCAGAGTCCTCCGCTCTGCCCTTGTCCTGTTTTCTGCCGTTGTCTGATTTCTCTCTTGATTTTCACCCTGTACAATAGAGTGTCAGATTTAAGTGTGTCAACCAGAGCAAACGTAAAGAATATAATCATATTTTCTATGCTGTCTTTCTTCTCTCTGTTTTGTAAATCTCCAGAGTCCTTTGGTAAGTTTGTAGATCTGAACACACATGCCTCCCACTAATGTCTCCACCATGTTTCTCAAACTACTGTTAAAATGCATGGCATGCATTTTACTAACGGTGTCGATAGGCCAGCAGAACACACTGACTAGCTGACTAGCAGTAAAGCACACGCTCAGGGCCACACTGGCAGGACCGACACTGACACTCTCACTCCATCTGTGTCTCTAAAGCTCACAGCTCAAAGACTCTCCACTGTTTCCCAGTCAATTAGTCCTCAGCTCCCCTCTCCCGCTAGATCACGGCCACTGCCACAGGTCTCAGAACGGCCCCTTGTGCTTCATCCACTGTGCCAGTTGCTCTTTGACCTCCTAAAGTGACCAATGCTCAATCCTGTGCTTTTCTCCACTAGAGCCAATGGCTGTCTTTTCTGAATCTCTCTTTCCTGTTGTAGCCTAATACAGTCTGTAAGAAAACAAAGCAAAGCTAATTTGATTCTTCTTCCAAAGCGGCCAGCCTCTCTTCTCGCACTAACGACTCTTCTTTCTTAATCTTATTTGCATTCATATAATCCACCCAGGTGGTACGCCAATAAGAGGTAAGAGTGCTCAACTCAAGTTCACAGAATGAACAACTGACTTCATTCTTCCTGTCCCTCATGTGTCTGCATCCATCGAACGCCCCGGCATCTTCCCATCATCCCTCCTCCATCCCATTCTGTTCCATCTCTCACCATTTTTGCCTCGGCGCTTTTCGGTTCTTTGGTTTGGTTTTGGTTTCAGTTCGAGAAAGCCTCT